GGTCGATTTATCGTTTCAGAATTTCGTGGTACTTGCTGAAATCGGGCCACTTTTCTTTTGTTTTGGGTTTTCACTAATAACACCTGATGGAATTCACGTGACCTATAACTTGTCATTTCATCAACGACAAAACCTATAGTTTCGTCAATTTGTCAACAGCTAAAATAGTTTCATCAACATCTATGATTTAACTTGCTTTAGTTTCGGGTAGGCTTTCCTTGATACTTCCTTTTTTTTTTTTTTTGATTACTAGGGGTTTTCAATGCAGTATGAGTTCGGTTTATATTAAGTAAAAACTGGTGTAAATAAAAAAAAAAGATTTTTTGGAAAGAAAAGGTAAAATATTTACAATTTGAGTCTATGCGTCGATCTTCGTCACGCTAACTTTAATTCTTAGATTACAGTTGAGCTATAATTTAAGTGGTTTTGCACCTTTTTCAGCTAATCGATCCAATAATTTCCTTTTTGAAACCCAATAACATTGTGAGACTTTGGCTTTCTTTCGTTTGCCCGGACATTTTGTGCTGGGCAATAACTCAGGAGAGTATTCTTTAATTTTTGAATTTTCACCGTGTATCTTTTACACTAACAATAATAATCGGGGGGGTTTTTTTGAAATGTTCAGATAGGCACGTCTACCACGAGTTACTTTCGCTTTTCTTGGGTCTTGCCAATACGTTTTCGTTTGTCGGGTACTCTTGCGATTTGACTATTTATTTTTTAAAATTCTTATTTGGTTTCTTCTTCGAATCGGGTATGGATCGAATCTCAAGTCATCACCAAATGTGACGAAGCGAAAATAATTCCATTCAAAGAATTGTGGATTTGGCCGGGCGAGTATTTATTTATTAAATGTGAGATCCCTCGTACATATGATAGATGCTACATTTGTATACTAACTATATACTCTTCTATTGTATATGCGAAATCTACTACTACACGCGATCTATTGTTCATATTCGATATGTATATCACTTGGTCTGTTAATCTTATCAAATATGATCGATTTATTACGTTTGATAGTGTTGGTGGCAAAACCAACGAAACTCGCTGCGCCGAATTCGACGTCACGGGACCCGAAAACGTGACGAAAACCCCGAATCGAAGCCCACGAAATCGTTAAAGAAATCGTGAAGAATCAGTGTTGCCCCAAAAGCCCCTAAACAAAAAAAAAAGCCTGGAACAGCCGCAAGATGAAGAATTCGAAGGAAATCGTAAACAAATCGTCAAGAAATCGTGGCCACATCATGATAAGATCGTTCTCAAGATGGACCCAAGAC